GGCGATCAGGAACTCCCCGATCGGGAAAGCATGAAATTGCTTCTGGGGAGGTGGGTCACCTTAGATGGCAGTTTGCCTACACATCTGGGAGATCTACCGCAGTGGTAGTACCACTAAGTTTGCTGATGATATTATATATGGCTCATATGATAAAACTAATAAGGTTTGTGATCAATTCTTATTGGTGCTGGCTGACATTAGAGGGGCGTTTGACTCCTGTTCATGGAAAATAATTCTGCGTGAACCCCGGGAAGTTTTCTCGGGCTTCATAGTGAACTTGATGAGTGATTAGTTACCTGATCGCAGTGCCGACCTTTATATAGGTGGACAGAGAACCCCTCATGAGTGTCGTGGCAGGATTCCGTCAAGGTTAATGCCTCACCCTGCGTGGCGGGGAATTATACGGTATACGCCTCGGTTAATAGAGGCAAGGAGGGCCGCAAGTCTGTGCGACAGTACGGGGGAGTTTTTTGTTTTGCTGCCAGTGTAAAAACTGCATTCCCGGTTGTAGAGAAATAGTAGTGAGAAAATATATGTAAATTGATTGTCGAATTTCTTGTCGTGTGATGTACACATTTTTGTCTTTCGTTGTTAGGTTCCCACCAGGTTTTGCTCACCGACCTAGAGGATCAATTAGGATCTCCACAACGTTCATTGGATCTCAACGATGAAGAGGCAGGATTGCTCGGGAATTGTTAAATATGTTATGTATTGCCATTTGCACAATTTGAAATTGTCAATTCCCGTATCCCCTTTGAATTCATTTCAGTGTAATTCTGTATTGTACAGTGAACAAGTATTCACAAATTAGGATTTCGTTCTTCACCATTTCAAAGTTCCAGCTTCTTCAAATTTTCAAGTTTCTTATTTGGAGCATGAGTGCATCGTAGCATCGGTTCTTAATAACTAGAGTTACAGCTGCTTCTTCAGGTTAAGGCTAAGACTAGTCTCATGCCACTTCCATGGGGTGATCTTGAAGCAGGCAAGAAAGTTATAGAGGCTCTGAGTGCTGACGGAAACGAGGAGGATCGCGAGCTTTGGGTCTGCGGTTCGGGGCTGGTAAGCATCTCGAAGTTTGAAATACATCCCTCGCGCTATTGTGAAGTGAAATGAGTAATTTCTGTTTATCAATGTAGGAGGCTCTTCACTCTAACAAGTACCATGAGCGAATTTAAAATGTATAGTAGGATTTTGTCACCAAATGTAATGTTCACCGGTTTAACATCTGATACTCACGTGAACGCATCTCCTTTTCATTTATCTTATCCTTCGAACTTAGGTTTATCTTTAATATTTTTCAGTCAGCTTATTTATTTTGTTCCTCTACACGCTTCTTTACACACCAACTTCTTCTCGATTGATTGCATCTTCGCTTGTAAGGTATAACCCCCCTCATCAGGTGTATTTCGACTCGCTCATGGCGCCGTTAGCTGACACCTTCCAGCAGCTCCTAAATGCCAGGCCGAAGGCGGTGGCATACATTGGGCAAATCAAGAGGAACTGGAAAGTCGAGAAAAGGTTCGTTGATCTTACTGCTCATGAAGTCGCTAGTGGGTTCGTTGGAGGTTCTTCACGAAGTTGTGCCGCCAGAGAGGGTTAAACTGCGAGCTGCTTTACTCGGCGCTGGTTGAGGAGAACGATGGTTGTGGGCAAGAGACCGATGGCACGGTAAGGGAAAGTGAGGGAGTAACTGTTTGAGGGTTCAGATGTCAAAAGTGACTATATGTTATTTATTGTTGTATTGTTCAGTTCAAAATCCTGGAAGAGCACGACATTACGGCACCGGAGGAGGGAGATTGGAATCTCCGATTGTACAAGTTGACTAGGAAAGATTAACTCTACTGAACTTATCAGCAGCAGCTGGATTGTGGCACACCACAAGACGCTTCGTTGGAAGTATCCTCAGCCATTGTGTTAGTGTAGAATCCAATATTTACAGTGCGTTCGCGTTTGTTGGGCAAGTTGATTAAAATTGAATATTTCGCGTGAGAGTGATGAAAATTGGCTGAAACCTTCAAGGATATAGCTATAAGACAAGGGTAATCGATCGGTATAATTCTCGTGACAAAACTCTCAGCCGTTTCATCAACTTGCCCAACAAACGCGAACGCACCGTATTTTGTTCCAACAAAAATACACATCTTCGCGAGGTACCCCTTTCAATTTGCGGCAGAATAGCCGGCAAAAATTTTCCCACTTTTCCCATCGTTTTTCCGGTAAATTCTTCAGGAACTTTTCCTCCCGAATTCTAGCACAAATTGTTGTTATTCAGGATATATCATTTTTGAACCACTCGATTAGTTATGGTAAATTGGTTTAAGAAGGATAAGAAAGAAGTGCCAGCATCTCCAAGTCAAGGCGCCGCTGGCGTTTCTGCGTCTGAGGGAACTAACACCGAAAAGAAGTCATTCTCGTCGAAGATGAAGTCGACCTTTTGTTGCGGATGTTCATCCGGTTCGGTGAAAGACCCTCAACTGATCAAACACTCCGATAACAGACCGACGCATTCGACCTCCACCGCTGAGGTTGGTACTTGGCTTTGGTTGATTCGCTCATTGCGTTTTTTAGGGATCATCGTCATCACCTATGACAACCAGAGCTGACAGCAGCATGAGGGACTCGGTCGTTACTGATGCCGATTGCGAGTTCAAGCAAGGGTCGATGAAGGCATCGCTGTTGGCCGATGAAAAGGCGCCACAGGAAAAGAATTCCAAATTCCATTTGTTCGGTCGTGGTAAAACCGAGAAGCAGCATTTGAGGACTTAAGAGACAGGTCAACTGATGCGTGATCGATTTTGTATGATATGTTACTTTTCTTTTACCAGAATTGTTGGAATCTATTCGGCCCACCGTAGGATGCCATTACTTCCCAGCGAAGGTTTCTCCATGTTGAGAGGGATTGAGTTACTCAGTGTTATGTGAAAAAAGCTGGAAGCGATTCGGCAACGCAAACTTTCTCCTACATAGCCACGGACCATTGCTTGACGCCCTCGAGATGAGGGACAATGTGGGACACGCATTGTGGGTGTTGGGCCTCGTGGCGCAACGGAAGCGCGTCGGTTATTAATGCCTTCGAATGGGCATTAAATATCCACATTGGGTCGGCACAAGTGGGTCTGGAGGCAACCGAGAGAAGACGTATCTTTCGAAACTCGGCCCGCACGCGGTGACATAGGAGCTGTGGCACTTCTTGCCAGCTAAAGGCTGACTAGCGGCATTTCAAGAGTGAACCTGTGCACGGCGCAACCGGTCGGTTTTTTGTCCGGTGTGGTGAGAGGATTCGAGCAGAACATATGGGCCGCAGCACTTCCGTGCTTGCTATCGCACCGGTGTCCTCGGTAACTGCACGTGCGCATGCGTTCGGGCTACCGAAGCGACGCGTGCCTCGTTTCTGGAATTTGACTAGAGTTAGCAAGTCAACCTAATTATATTGCTACACTAGCGATGCTATGTCATGGCATGATATATAACGCCTATGAAAGCTACCTTCGGTATGTGCTGATCTGTAGAAGAGTCAAGCTCCGAGTTACTCAACTGTTGAAAAGGGAAGCATCATATTGAACTTGCAGGCTGTAATGATGGATTTAAGACCCCTAATGCCGCATTCGCTAAGCCGGGAAGAGTCCACCTTGACAGGGAGACTCGCTATCACTTCTCCGGTTTCTACAAGGTGAGGTGGCTCTAATTACAACATGCTTACATATCTATGTCATGAACTATCTCGAGAGGCGTACAGTTGTTCGGATGCCATTGAGCTCGTAGAAGTTAAGAAAAGGTGTATCTACGAGGATAAACTCATCACTCTATTAAACTCTAGCCAATTCGTCGTAAATGCGAATGATTCGTCAAGGATGAAAAAATACCTGTCACCACTGTTACTCTGTTGAGGACTTCATGAGGTTTCCCTTCGAAGGTACTCCTTACCCTTGCCAGAACAGACATCAGGCGGGCTTGGAAGATTAAGCAGTAGAAGCACTACACCTTCGTATACAGTAAGTACTATCTATAGTATAGATACTAGTATAGATATTATAATATATTACTACTGTATAGATTCTATACAGTAAGTAAGTGTAACTGTCCATCTTGTTCGTAAAAGTTATGATTCCAAACAGCGGCTAAGCTTTGGCTGCGAAGTTTGCTGTTCTCAGAACATATTCTCATCTTACCTCCAGCAACAAGGGGAGAAGATCACCCCGCCGTAAGAGATCCTCCCTGATGTGGGCATGCTGTTGGTCTCGTTGCTGAATAATTTATGGAGTTCTGCGTTAATAGTTCTGAAGGCTAGGAAGTTTTCACGGTAGTGTCCAGGCAAGGGGGACACCGCCGCTCGTGGAATCTTAGAAAAGTCGGACCTCGTGGCGCAATGGAAGCGCGTCGGTTTCCGGAGCCGAAGGTTGCGGGTTCAAGTCCCGCCGGGGTTATTGTTATCATGGCATATTTCCACAGGGCTATGATATACAATAGATGCTTACTGAGTTCTTACAAAGTTCCACAATTTGTGATGAAAATGCAGCATTTACCTGATAATACTCTGGGCGGGACTTGAACTCGCAACCTTTGGATTAGAAGTCCAACGCTCTATCCGATTGAGCCACCAGAGCTACCACTTTGTAATGTCGTCGCAACTCCGAGCGAAAGATTACAATCTCCTCAGAAGATATTTCTTCTTTTAGTTTTGATTTCTGATCGCCGAAATTCAATAGAGTAGCGGACTTCTGACACAGAATTCGGGGCACGGCTTTTTTCGAAGGCTAGGAAGTTTTCACAATAGTGTCCAGGCAAGGGGGACACCGCCGCTCGTGGAAGCTCAGAAAAGTCGGACCTCGTGGCGCAATGGAAGCGCGTCGGTTTCCGGAGCCGAAGGTTGCGGGTTCAAGTCCCGCTGGGGTTATTGTTATCATGGCATATTTTCACAGGGCTATGATATACAATAGATGCTTACTGAGTTCTTACAAAGTTCCACAATTTGTGATGAAAATGCAACATTCACCTGATAATACTCTGGGCGGGACTTGAACCCGCATCCTTTGGATTAGAAGTCCAACGATCTATCCGATTGAGCCACCACAGCTACCACTTTGTAATGTCTTCGCAATTCCGAGCGAAAGATTACAATCTCCTCAGAAGATATTTCTTCTTTTAGTTTTGATTTCTGATCGCCGGAATTCAATAGAGTAGCGGACTTCTGACACAAAATTCGGGGCACGGCTTTTTTTAACGCGAGAGGTGTGTGTGTAGTTCAAGGTCCGACGCCTTAAGGCTTAGTCAGACCTAGATTTCCCAGTGGAAGAGTGACCGCAGCTGCATGAGAGACATTACCTTAATAAGGTCGCTAGGCTTAACAGCTTTCGATCACTGATGCTGAATTGATCAAGACTTCCGTATGGACTGATCCACTCAGGGCGTACTCGCATAGGACAACCACTACATAATTTATGTAACATAAAGGGGAGGGACATCGTCCTATGCGGTGCATGTAGGACACATAGATTTTTGAATGCCCAACAACGAAAGAGGGCCAGTCGTGTAGCTTCTGGGCAGGTTTCCGTAAAGTCATGCGCTGGTGTTCCGAGCGCAGGAGCTCCGCGAGCCGTGTGGGAAGCTCCCGGTGCCCCACCGCGCCGGTGGCACCGGCGGTGGGGTCTCAAGGCAAACCTGAGACGTTCTTCCAAGATGGGCCATGTGGTCGGCGTCGCCGATCCGGCGACGTCGTTATACATTATTTCCTCTGTGTGGGCAGGTATCTAGCAGATGGAGAGATCTATGTAGGGATGCCATGCCACACTTGATACGGTCGAGCCCTGGGGTTGCACGTGCCATTGAGTAGAGCCAATAGAACCGATCTAGAACCAATGAAAATACAGCATTTCATATTGTCATAGCCTCTGTTCGAAGAGTTACTCCTCAAGAGTACCAAGAGTATCAACGACAAAACACTTCCTTGAGTGAGACCTACATTAGTGTCAGCTAGTCTATGAGAGCCTCTCATTGAGAGGTGATACCATTGGTATCATACCAACGTGGTATTACGGTAATACTATTACCAAGATACTGGTTAGTATTGCGCCTAACGCCCAGCCATTGTTGATCAGCAGAGGACGCACCGAGGGCATTGATGGCCGTGATGAGTTTGCTGTGAGGAATGGAGCCGAAGGCATTACTCAATTCCAGTCCTGCTATAGCTCAGGAGGGTTTTAACCACTTTCCCAGTGAAGCCCTCTTGAACGTGATGCAGCAAGTCCTTCACCAATGACACCGATGACCGGCCAGGTAGGTAAGCGTACTCTCATGCGATAGGAGTGGACTCTACTCCCACTCAGTAGAGAGGCGTAGAATGATGATAGATTCCATGAGCTTGCAGAAGGTGGGGGAGAGAGTGATAGGTCTTACACATTTGATCGTACGGTACGATTCGTACCATAGCCACTGGACTTCAAGGCAGTGGAATTTGTTTTTTCAATGGTCGCTCAAAATCCTCCCCGTTCCTCTCCCGACATCTGCCCCTCCTGGAGACGTCCACAGACTTTCGACGGCGAAGCTGCAGACCAGCAGCTACGCCTGTGGGTCCCTTAAGAAGCTGCCTCCTGAAGCTCTCAGAGAAAAGACGGGTCTTCCCGGCTTACCTTGGGAGATTAAGGATGTATGGAGTGTCATGCACTCCGTAAAGGCAGTAATAGATAGGAATGTGGCGACAGATAAGATGAGTCGTGCCTCGGGTAACATTCTGTTATCCTTCGTACTTGAACTTTCTATTCGTCTTGGTGAGGAATTAGATAAATGTGAAATTCTTAATAGTGAAATGGGTAGTTTACATGATAAAATTGCTAAACTAGAATGTGAGACTAGCAAGAATTCTAAGTCGGTGGTAGTTGGCTCTTCTTCTTCCAATACATATAGGAACAGGAGAAGGGTGTCCCAAGTTGAGGAGGCCGACTTTGTCTGAGACAAATTGTCTCCCTCTCCTCCTCTGAGGCTGCTGAAGAGGTTGACATGGAGCTTGAAAGGTTTGCTGATCGTGGTCATGAGCCGGCTTCTGGTAACTGGGTTACTACAAGGTCTCGTCGGCAAAATAAAGCTCGAGGTAGGCCTGTGAGACCGGCCATTGGTACTGTCGATCTGGGTGAAGCTCAAACTGGTACTGTGCCCTCTGTTAAGAGGAAGAATGATTTTGTGGTTATGGTTATTGATGAAAGATGGGTTTATTCTACGTCCAGAACTCTAGATGCTTCAAGGAGGCAGCAGACTCCTGACCCTGCTAACCTACCTTTGGCTAAGAAAGAGGAGGTACCTTCGGTCTTGAAAGGGAAAGGTTTTAAGGTTGACCTCTTCCAAACTGCGAGAGGCACCGGCGTTGGTTGCCAGAGCCCGCAGGAGAGGGATAAGATCTGTTATCAGCGTTGGGTACCCACCTTCTGAGCTCTCATGGTTATGCGCTGGGGCGCAGTACGGCTACTGCAGTTAATGAGGTTGTTAGTAGTATCTCGGATTTGAAGTCTGATGACTCGTTTATCGCTGTATTAAGTCTTGACATGAAAGCCTTTCATTGAAAGGTGCCTTTATTGGAGCCTCTCATGTTTCTATTTGTGACGCGGTTCGCTCTATTACTGGTTCTTCGGCACTGGCAAATGTGGTTGGTGGTTATTTACATGGACGCCGATGCCATTATAATGGGAAAATATAGTCCGTATTTTAGCCATACATCTCCGGGAGATGTATGACTAAAGGGGGTACCCCAGTGGGGTAACCCCACAAGGTGGCGCTCTTTCCCCGGTTATCTATAGGTTGTTTCATACAAAGGTTATGAACGTCCCCCAGATGGCTATTAAGGTTGGCATATCAGTACGAGTTGTGTCTTATGCGGATGATATGATGATTCTGATTGCGGCCGAGGACGAGAATGACCTTGCTCAAGCTATAACTTATAGCCTATAAGGGACATTGTGCTGGCGCTAGAGCGTGAGCTCCCTCTCTTAGGCTTCTCTATGGCTAGGGAAAAGAGTGTGATCTTGTCTCGAGATCTTGGCGACAGCTGCTGTGGTATACCGGCTAAAGCGACTATTCCCTTTTTGGGTATCCGCCTGAGTTTTGACGGTAAATGGACTCCGCACGTGGAGGAAGCTTGTTGTAGGATTCTGCGCAGTCTATGTGCATGCGTGCTATAATAATCTATAGCTAAGCGGCCGGCGCGGTCGGTTGTTCGCCTGCCCTTGGTTATCACTTCTCTCTCTAGCGTAAGCTAACTATCCCTCAAGGTCCCTCCTGTTGTGTTAACGCATCTGAGCCTCTAGTCCTACATCAACTAACTACTTAACCGAACCCGATAACAAGCTATAAGGAAGGCAAGTTTTGAAATTGAATCCTTTAGAAGACTGATTACTATTGAAGGCTGTGTTCGTATTACCCCAAGGCCAGGGAGGTTGTAAGGGCCCATGAGGCTGCCTCGCTTGGATACGGAATAGAATGTTGGGGCGACCGGTTATCCCTTAAAGCTGTCAAAAGAAGAATGAATGCGCTGCACAATAGATTAGAGAAGATTATGCTTGGTGTACCTATATCCGGTACCCCGGAATCCGGGTCCCGGATCTGGTGGCTTTACTGAGTGATGCGAAACTGACTATCTACCAAAGGTTGTGTTCTCGTTATGGTTCTTGGAGGTTCCAGAAAGGTGACGATATTCGTAAATGGTGGCGGAAGGTGGTGCCACCAGTGGTGGCCCACCACCGTGGTGGGGGTAGCCTATCCTGATCCTGTAGAGATTTGGAGGTCTGACCGGTATAGTAGGGGGCTGGATTCAACTCGCTACCATCTGGGTAATGGCTTGAAGGTATTTGAGGGCTCTCTTAGCCCTGGAGTTACCCAATTTGAAGGAAATCCCACGGTTATTTTCTCGGATGGTAGCCGGATTCCAGCTAAGAATGATCACATGGCTAAAGTTGGAGCTGGATATTTCTGCTGTGATATGAGAATTGGCTGGGGGGGTGTATAACGATTGGTACACATAAATTACGTACACATGAAACTCGTACACGGAATTTTTGACTTTTGACTGGTACACCAAATTCCCGTACACTCAAATCTCTGTCGACAAAATGTGATACACCGAAAATAGGTTCAGGGCCAAGTAGTACACAAAAATTCCGTTCATATGAGTGTCGTACACTAAGATTTGGTTCAGTTTGATTTCGTACTCCTCGAACTCGTACACCCGATGGCTCGTACACCTATGCTTTTTTTTCCAGTTCAGTAGGGAGATCACTAATTTGTTAATCCAAAGGTTGAGAGTTCAATCCCCAGAAGCGACATAACCGGCAAACTTTGTCTGTCCGGCGGAGCAATTAGCACTTCTGGGGAGATCAATATCGAGTGAATGCGCCACTGAATTGTGTAGTCAGGTTGCTCTAGTCACTAGAGTCTAGTGGTATAAGGGCTATCTGACATGGGCAAGGTTCTAGGTTCGAATCTAACCCGGGGTATTTTCAGTTCATGGGAGTGTGAGGAGCTGAAAGCCTGGGGTGAGTAAGCCGGGAATTGAAGCGCGGGTGGAGCCGGCGCGGAATTTTTGGAGTGTACGAAATGAAAGTGTACGAGATATGCGTGTATGAAAAAAGTGTGGATTGAGATTTTGGTGTATGGAATGGGGGTGAACGGAATGAAAGTGTACGAACTTTTAGTGTACTTGATGCAAGTGTACCGAGTTTATGGATACGAGATAATAGTGAACGTACTTTTGGTGGTCGAACTGCCGATGATCTGAATAGGAGCGAACGAGCTGACTGTGTACGTGTTTCAAGCAATCGAGTTGAGTATGAACGTGATTTATGGAGATTGAACATTAAGTGTTCGTGTTTTATGTGTACCAATCGTTAACATCCCATGCCATACACCGTTGATCTCGGACGTCAACAAGTTCCAGCTGGAGAAACGCTTGTCTCAAATCCAAACTGGAAAAAAAGGGGAACCTGCGAATGAGGGATAGAGACTGTACAACGCCCTGATCGCAACCCGTCGGCAGACTCGAGTGCACAATGTGTGCTAAGGGGGCCCCGTTGAAAACGGGACGAACCTTCATGG